AGACTAAGTTTGAACCCTGGTTGAATGATGAAACTCGTTCTGCGAAGCGTGAATGTCGTAGGGCTGAGCGGAGATGGAAAAAAAGATAACTTACAGGTCCCTTCACAAAATTTAAGAGAGCACTGGGCCTTATATCAGCTTACAATAAAAGAAGCAAAGCGGAAATACTTTGCAAACATTATTATGGTGAATTATCAGAAACCACATATATTGTTTAAGTTAACTGAGACTATTTTAAGCCCTCCCTCTGCTCTTAGTTTTGAGCCTTCACATGAAATGTGTGAAAAGTTTCTGCACTTCTTTATGAACAAGGTAGCCTCGGCTAGGGCGTGGATTATTTTGCCCACATCTGACCCCTCTGATCTTCCAATTTGCTCAGCTGTCTTTCAACAGTTTGAGTCGGTTACTCTTGCTCAGCTACAGGAGGTGGGGGATCATTTAAAGCCTGTAGGCTCACCTTATGATGCTACCCCTCCCCGTTTTCTGAAAGAAGTTTTTTCTACCATAGGTCCAACTATTTTAACCATTTTAAATAGCAGCCTTGCCTCAGGTGTGGTTCCAAAGAATTTCAAAGATGCAATTGTGCAACCACTTCTTAAGAAACCTGGGCTAGATACAGGCTAAACTTTCTTTGCTTTGACAATTCTAAAACTGAAGTAATGGTGTTTAAACCTGCCTCCACTGCTGTTCCGTGTGTTGATTTGCAATCCCTGAAATCATTCTGTAAAACAGAGATTGTTAATCTGGGTTTTAAAATGGATCCTGAGCTTAAGCTTGAAAGCCAGTTCAGGTCGGTTGTAAGGTCTAGTTTCTTTCATCTCAGGCAGCTGGCCAAAATTAAGCACTTTCTTGCGAGACAGCAATTTGAAACAGTAATCCATGCTTTTGTAACCATTCAGCAGGATTACTGTGATTCTCTTTATTTTGGGGTGAGTCGATCTTCTGTTTTTTGACTGCAGCTAGTTCAGTTTCAGTTTGACTGCATGCCTTTTAACTGGGACTCGTAGATGCGAACATATCACCCCAGTTTTATATTCACTTAATTGGCTGCCCGTGCATTTTAGGATCCATTTTAAGCTGCTTTTATTTGTTTTTAAATGTTTGTCCAATGCTGCCCCTCTGTACCTCTCTGAGCTTCTTCATCCATGCATACCTTCCCGATCCCTCAGGTCGGAAGACCAGCTCCACCTGAGTGTGCCTAGTGTGCATTATAAATAATAATAATCTTTATAAATAAAGATGCTATGCTATGCTTATAACATTCAGCAATCATATTATGGTTCAGAGATATATTTGAAATTCCAAAAGACCCATGCAACTCTTTCTTTTTAAAATAATTTGGCAAAAGCTACTTTGCAACATGTAATATTCTCTGAACTGTAAACAAAGAAACGTATTAAATACTTTAAATATGTGTCTTTAAATGAATTTATTTAAAATTAACTATCAGGCTCTTGTCACCAGTGTTGGTCAAGTTACTTGAAAGTAATCTTGTTACATTACTGATTACTTATTTTCAAAAGTAATTAATTACTTAGTTACTTAGTTACTTTTTAAAAACACAATTTACAACCTGAATAGGTGATAAAGCGATAGATCTTTCAGCCCAATTCTACTTTTTCTGCATAATCAATCATACAAAATGTAATCAAATGGAAAAGTCTCTTTTTAAAATTTATTTTTATTAGTTTTAATCTTTTAACTTTATGCATCAAGCAAAAATTAAATTATATGCAACATTCTCTGACTGGAGGAAATTTGTTTAATATTTAACCCTATTTTCTGCACATTCCAGCACATAAAATAAAATTATTATTTTTTGCTTAGACTCAGTTTTTCAAATAAATGCAAGTGAAACACAGCAGAAAATAAATAAAATCAAAGACTCAGCAGTCCTGTTGCTCTATTTTCATCTGTATAGCAGGCGGATGTTTGCCCTGGTGCAGATGTGCCCTATGAAATAGCATAAAGGGTGGCACTGGCCACAACAGACTCGCAAAGAATCCTGAGCATTGTCTGACAAATGTTGAAAGACCTCAGTCGCCTTAGAAAGTAGACATGCATTCCTAGAAGGGTCATTTAGAAGGGATTCAAGTGGAGAAGGGTTCCACTTTGGTGGTTCAAGGTTCAAGGTTCTTTATTTGTCACATGCATAGTTATACAAGTATAACACACAGTGAAATGTAGCCTTACATGCTCCTCGACATGTGCAAAAATTTGGGGGGGGGGGTGTAGAGGAAGAACATTATATATATATATAGTATATACACTGGGTGAATGTGCAGTAGTAGCAGCAAGCAGGTGAATTCTGTACATTAATATGAATAGACATCTGACTATTTTACAGGATCGACAATATAAACATATTTAAAATTAAAGGAATTGAAATGTACATTGTACCTTGGTTTAGAGTGTCTGGAAGAGAGTCCTGTCTCAGTCAATTATAGATGATGTGAGAGGGCGGGTGTGTGTGTTTAGGGCACAGATGGCTTGGGGATAGAAGCTCCTCTTGAGTCTCTCTGTCCTTGCCCGGATGATGCGGAACCTTCTACCAGATTGCAGAAGTTGGAACAGTTTGTTGCCTGGATGGGACGGGTCCTTCAGTATCTGCGCTGCTCTAGTCCGGCATCTCCTGGTGTAGGTGTCCTGAAGCGGGGGGAGAGCAATCCTGCAGCAGCGTTCTGCTGTACAGATCACTCTCTGGAGAGCTTTTTGGTCCTTCACACAGCTGTTCCCAAACCACGATGTCATGTTCTGTGTGAGGATGCTCTCCACAGCGCCTGTATAGAAAATCCTGAGGATCTTTGGAGAGACTCTGAACTTCCTCAGTTGTCGTAGGTGATACAGGCGCTGCCTAGCCTTTTTGGTCTGGACCTGAATGTGGGCAGCCCATGTCAGGTCTGAGGAGATGTGGACACCAAGATACTTGAAGGACTGCACCCTCTCCACTGGAGCTCCATTGATGATAATGGGCTTGTAGTCTCTGTGCTGACCCCTTCTGAAGTCCACCACCAGCTCCTTGGTCTTGCAGACGTTCAGCTGGAGGTGGTTGTCCTGGCACCACAATGCCAGATTCTTCACTTCATCCATGTAGGCCGCCTCATCGTTGTTGGAGATGGCACCCAACACCACTGTGTCGTCAGCAAACTTCACAATGGTGTTGGAGCCATGGGTGGCCACACAGTCTGAAGTATAGAGGGAGTAGAGCAGTGGCGAGAGGACACATACCTGAGGTGCTCCTGTGTTGATGGTGATGCTGTTGGAGAAGCACCTGCCCACCCTCACCACCTGAGTTCTGCCAGTGAGGAAGTCCAACACCCATGCACACAGACGGCTGTTAAGTCCCAGATCCCTCAGCTTTGTGAACAGTCTGCAGGGCACTATTGTGTTAAACGCTGAACTGTAATCAACAAACAGCATTCGCACATAGTTACCCTGTTTCTTGTCCACGTGGCTGAGAGTGGTGTGTAGGACGTGGGCGATGGCATCCTCTGTGGATCTGTTGGATCTGTAGGCGAACTGCAGCGGATCTGTGGTGTCTGGGATGGAGGAGGAGATGATGTTCTTCAGCAGCCTCTCAAACACCTTCATTACTACCGAGGTCAGTGCAACTGGCCGGTAATCGTTCAGGGATGAGGGTTTGCTGTTCTTGGGCACAGGGATGATGGTGGATCTTTTGAAGCATGTGGGGACCACAGACTTCGCCAGGGACTCATTGAAGATGTAAGTGAAAACACCTGCTAGCTGGTCAGCACAGCAGCGCAGCAGACGGCCGGTGATGCCGTCTGGCCCCGCCGCTTTCCTTGTGTTCACTCTCCTCAGTGCCGCTCGGACGTCATGCTCCGCGATGCTGGTCACCGGTCTCTCGCTGATGACGTCACTATCCTCGGTAGTCAGGCGGTAGATAGCATTAGCCGCCTGGCTAACCTCGGTGTCAGGATCTCAACTTAAATGATATGGTTTTGTTGGCTCTATTACTACTTTGGGGGAAATCAGCTTTTAGTTCGTATCCCAACCATAGGGCCTTTGTTTGCAGTGGACCAAGACGACTTGGAAGGGAAACACCAGCTGAATAGTGTGATCTCTTAGCAGAGATCAAAAGGGGGATTGTGAGAAAGTATTTGAGCAGGTGGCATGTTTCAGTTCCCTTATGATGTGCAGAGATAAGGAGTAGGTTGTAAAGAAGAACAGAAAAGCAGGAAACTACAGAGGAACAGTTGGGGAGTGTACCCTTCTATGTGAATGTTTGGGGGTGTGTCCTTGGGTGTGGTTGATAAGGAAACAACATGTATTCTTTTTATGACTTGTTTTGCTGACTGTAGCGAGCATGAGGGTGGGCTCACCTGTAGCCCCTGTGACTGAGCATGTAAGCTAAAGGTTGCAAGATGCTTGTGTTACTACTAGATAACTATAGGGGCAGTCCCTTAAGGAAGCGCCCAGAGCCTTTATAATGAACAGACTGAGGAGTTGCTGCTCAGATCCACTGCTGTGGCTGCATGTAGTGTGATCTCTCAATGCGCATTGGTAATAAAGCTTTGATGAAAGGATACTTCAGCCTCATCTGACTCTTCTTCTCCAGCTGCATTATTAAAGGATCGGTGAGGTCGAGAATTGAACCTCAGCAACCTCATCCTCCTCTGTGTTGCAGTTATAAATATTAGCAGAAGCTTATTTTTGTCTTGTTCAACCTGGAGGGAAGCAGCTGAGTTTATTGTTATGAGTTCTTAATATGTAAGAATCTGTGTAATTGAATCTTAAATCTTTTAAAGTATAAAACTACTTGCTGTTTGTTTTTGATTGCTAATGTGGACATTGTACAACAGGTGCAACAGCTGTTGAGAAGGAACGTGACATAATCAGGTAACATGTGTGTGTAAAACAGCATTTGAACGGTATCATAGTAGAAACATTTCTTGGCAATTTATACCTGGTCGTTGTATTGCTGTCTAGCAAATGTAATATATATTATTGCTGACCTATCTTTGTCACTGTGGGATATTATGGAGAAAATGGAAAACTCCAGTGAGATTGTGTCATTTGTGTTGTCTGCTTTTGAAAATGTTGGGGAGTTAAAATACCTGTATTTTGTAATAATACTGGTCTGGTATGTCTCTATATGTGTGGCAAACACAGTCCTTATTGTGGTCATACGTGTGGACAGAAGGCTGCATGAGCCAATGTATATACTTCTTTGTAATTTATGTGTGAATGAAATAAATGCCAGCACATCACTGTATCCTCTTTTGCTCTCACAGATGTTTTCAGACAGCCACGAGGTGACCCTGCCGTGGTGTTTTCTGCAGATGTGTTGTTTGTACACAAGTGCTTCTGTTGAGCTTTGTAGTTTAGCAGCCATGGCCTATGACAGATATATCTCAATCTGTCATCCATTACGCTATAATGTCATTATGAAGGCAGAGAGAGTGTTTTTGTTGATTCTGCTTGTGTGGGTGTATTCATTTCTTAGTTTTATTTTCTCATTTTCATTCATCTTCAGTTTGAAGTTTTGTGAAAATATTATTCACAACGTGTATTGTGACCACCAATTAATAATTAGACTTTCGTGTTCAGTTTCAATCCAAAGCTTTATTTCTGATATATCCTTCGCAACTGTGAGTGTTTTCATACCCTTCAGTCTCATTTTAGTCTCTTACATGAAGATTTTGAGAGTTTGTCGGGTATATATTTTACTTTATTGACTTCAGGTCTGTAGTTTCTCAGGTATTAGATGAAGTTCATATAATTTTGCCTATGTATGTCCTCATTTTTCAACCAATGCTCACCCCATTTATGTATGGATTTAATTTACCAAAGATAAGGCAATCATATCTACGGAAGAGGATTAGGGCCACTGGAAAAAAAAAAAAGAATTCTGACTTTAATCTCAGAATTCTGACTTTAATCTCAGAATTCTGACTTTTTTCTCAGAATTCTGTTTTCTGCACATGTCTTCCATGTACATAAGTGGGCCTGCTGAGTTTTGCAGTTTAGCAGCCATGGCCTATGACAGATATATCTCAATCTGTCATCCATTACGCTATAATGTCATTATGAACACAGAGAGAGTGTTTTTCATGATTCTGCTTGTGTGGATATATTCATTCCTGAGTGTAATACTATCATTCTCATTTATCTTTAGTTTGAAGTTTTGTGGAACTATTATTGAAAATGTGTATTGTAACCACAGATTAATACTTAGACTTTCATGTTTCGTTTCAGTCCATAACTTTTTATCTGATATATTCTTTCTCTTTGTAAGCTTTTTCATACCATTCACTCTCATTTCAGTGTCTTATGTAAAGATTTTGGCAGTTTGTCGAAAAACATCCACAGAAAACAAGCAGAAAGCCGTGACTACTTGTGTCCCTCAGATCGTCTCTGTGTCAAACCTGTTTGTTGGCTCAATTTTTCAGTGTATCGATTCCAGTGTTATAGTTGCTCGTCTACCAGTCCGTATAATTTTATCTATTTATCTTTTCATCTGTCAACCAATGCTGACTCCATTTCTCTATGGATTTAATTTGCCTAAGATAAGGCAATCATGTAAAAAGCTTTTGTTTAAGAAAAAACAATAGCTTTGTTCACCAAGAGACTTTTCTAGGGAATCGCTGCTCTGTGGGAGAGTAACTATCCACAATCATCTTATAGTCTGTAAACATAAAGAAAAGAAAATCTGTTGATGTGATATTTATTTACAATAGACCAGTGTCATTTGGTGCATGTGATGGGGGGGGGGTTCTCTTTTGGGGAGGGGTGACACTTTCCACTTTGCTCCTGGGATGTGTGTGATGCTCTCAAACAAAACAATGTATTAAACATATGGGTATGAATACAGTGATTTTTTTCTTAAGAAGAATTTATTTAGAATAAACCATCAGACTAATTTCACAGCTTAACCCTCTGTTCTATACGGTTACCCTTGACAATTAAGATAATGAACATTTTTCTTTTGCAGGGTTTTTTCATTTGGGAATAGCTTTTGATCCTCTTTACAAATAATCTCTAAGGTTATGAATGTTGAATAACTACATAAAAATATTTCTGCTTATTGTAAGCTTGATATAGACATATGTCTTATGGGGACACAGTTTATACTGTATATGATCTTTCATATCTTGAGTCTGAAAGTGCAGGCACCAATTTAAATGATGCAAACAACTTCTCCTCCTCCTTCGGCATGCTACATATGTCACTGGCAGGGCTGGACTGGGACAAAAAAATGGCCCAGTGACCACCTCCACAAACCGCAAACTCACTCTTATGTAGTTTTTAAGAATTATAAGTTTTCAGAATGCATTTGTTTGCTGGAAGGTGTACTTAGACATTACTGCATCTATATTTATGAGTACAGTGTCCTTTTTCTCTGGAAAAAAAAAATCAAAAATTACTGACTGTACCTTTAAAATAAAACATGTCAACAAACTGCATGTATAATTCTACTGACTACTCATAGATGCATTCAGCAGCTGTGGCCACCAGAGGTCAGTACTACACCTGGCATTGGAAACCTGAGTACTGGGATAGAGGTAGTTCCTCTGAGATGCCTGCTGGATAGTTTGAGAACGGCTCCTCAGGAGGTAAATCAAACCGTACTCACAACATTTGCAGTACTGTGGCATTTTTAATATACAAGAGTCGACCATTTATTTTCTGCTTAATGGCATCACAGTGTTGCCTGTACATCTCTGTTAGTGTTTGTAAAGTTATGCCCATGCAAGAAAAGTATTTTCACTGTCAGGCCTAAGTGTCTACATGATAAGTGAATGTAATAAAAGCTGAGCTGGCTGCTGGGCAGTTTAAGGATTGCTGAAATAGGGAGTAAATCACTGCATCGCATAGGACAGTGTTTGTTCTTGTTGAATTTTTAATATACAGGGTGGGCCATTTATATGGATACACCATAATAAAATGGGAATGTTTGTTGATATTAAAGTCCTGTTTCTACCACATTAGTATATGTGACGGGGCAAACTCCTCAAGATGGGTGGTGACCATGGTGGCTATTTAGAAGTCGGCCGTCTTAGATACAACTTTTGTTTTTCCAATAGGAAGAGGGCCATGTGACACATCAAACTTATTGGTAATGTCACAAGAAAAACAATGGTGTACTTGGTTTCAACTTAACTTTAAACAGGACTTTAATATCACCAACCATTCCCATTTTATTATGGTGTATCCATATAAATGGCCCACCCTGTATACTATTACAAGTCTGGATCTTTAAAGTCCTGTTTAATAGCTTCACATATTAACTGTTTATGTTTGATAATGTTCTGAAAGTAAGAACCATGCACTAAAGGCCTCTTTCAGGAATTTTATGATTTATTTAAAAAAAAAAACAACACAGCATAATTCTAATAATTTCTTTCTAATTTTTTTTTCTTGTTTGTTTGTTTGTTTGTTTTTGTTTTTAATTCTGTGGTAGCTGGGATACAAACACCAAAATCACCATTTGCCATTTCACCACACAAGGGAAGTTTTGTGTTTCTGCAGCAATATAAAGAGTAAAAATAGTTCCAAAAGATAATTTTTAGTGGCTGAATTTTATGTTTAATTCATTTCTGACTCCAGTGTGAAGTCCAGTGTGCCGGCTCAAATCTGAGTATCAAGCATGAATTTTGTTTGGTATTTGTCTAACAATATAAGTTTTAGCTATAAACAAGTTTTTAATAGATTTCTAAAAATATTTGTCTCTTTTTGCTTTTATAACAGGTGGTCTGATAAATATGTTGAGAACTGTACCTTACTTTATTGCATCTTCAGTCACTTTCAAACAGACCAGCAAACAGTTCTGCTGCATCAAGTTTAGATGCATTTTTTCATATGAAGGGCATTTTCCTCTCGATGTTGATACTTGCATTCCCAGTGTTTGTTTAGTCTGCAGATCATTATGTTAGCATCAGCCATGTTATGTTAGCTTTTCCCATTATATGACACTCCTGGGCTGAGACTACTGATGCAGTGAATGAATGACCTGATGCAGTATATAATATATGCTTTCCACAAACCCTAAGACCCAACGCTTAGCCTTCTCATTTGAGAACCACTGACTAATATAATGCTTTCTGTCCCTGAAAGGGTTTCGAGATGACTGGGAGACATGATTCCCATTACAACCTTACTGATATCAGCAGATATCTCTCCCCGTCTTGCCTGAGAATGAACCATTGTGTCCTTCTGTTTGTCTGCATGAAGAGTAAACACAAATTAATACAGATTGTTTAGAAATTCAGGATGTAAGAATATTTATATTTGGTCAGAAAGTTCTGTTGTTCTGTTTGAGAGTCTGGACTGTTGCCATGCACATACAAACAATTCATGCACCAAGTTCAACAAAAATTGAGTGTAAGCACACTCAATTAGAATAACTTTCTCTTGTATGATTAAAGCAGCTAACTCTACCTCAGTGCTGTATTTAGGATATTTTTTTTAATTATCATTAATCTTTGTAACTTTTGTTGCCCACTAGTTCACCAGATTCCTCATGTATATGTTTCCTAATCTACATAAACTAATGCCCATACAGCTAACTTTATTGTGGCACTTTAGTATTTAAGTTAGTGAAGGCATGCCTTGGCTGGGGTGATCAAAAATGACTTAAAAATATCCACATAAAGTGTGAAAACCTTCTACTTGTGCTGCTGACATTTGTTTAACAATACACGTGACTCACAGTTTGACAAAACAACCCAAACTCAAGCCCAACTTTGACTGATTTCCAGGGTCAAAGACTGTAAGAGCTACTACATGCCCTTATTTGGTAAAATATGTTGTCATAACATGTTATGAACATTGACTGATTTAAGTATATTATTGTGTCATGCATACACAATACGTCCAGCCTGAAAAGGCTTACAGCAACATAAAACCAGAGCCAGACTAGCACCATAACTTACAAATACTGAACAAATAATCCAACCTGAGATCTTTCCCAAGCTTCAGAAACAAAGGCCGCTGACTTATAAACACCAAAATTATTAAACAAACATTTCATTCAGTACATCAAAATATTTCTGGGGACTTTAACAGACACCTCGCGGATTATATATGTTCTTTTCTCATTATAATAACAAGACAGAATAAAATGTAATTTGTTTGTTCACTTAAAGACCTTTGACTTATGGATCGCTTTGAAGTCACAGATTGTAGTGCTGTACTTTTATTTTACACTAAATAAACTTTCTGTTTGTAGATGTGAGATATTGAATATATTTTACATCACCATTTTGGGGAAGTGTTTGCCTCGAGGCCTGTGCAGCAGTAAATCCTGCTTCTCCAGTGTGGGGTAGCCATAGTTCAGAGTTAAACACTACAATACAGTGACTGCAAATGCTATAAAAAAAGGGGTTTCATTATTCCAACAACAGTGGCCAAGTCCTGTAAGAAAAAAAACTATGGAAAAAGTCATGACAGGAATTCTTCTGATGCAAACAAACTTCACTAGGTTTGAGTCACTGAAAGTGAAAATGACAAAATTGTTAGTTGGCTCTATTTTTCATGATATGCTATTAGGTCAGTTCTAATACCACAAGTTTTTAATTTAAACCAGAAATTAATAAAATACATTTTGACTCTTTTAGCAGCAAGAAATGTGCAATGCAAAGATCCTGGTACCCTACAGTGTTAAATATTTTAACAGGTTTGGTTGTGGCCAGAACTCTTTTAGGAATTCTTACATGTAAATTCTTTAAGTAGTCTTTAATAATAGTTCTCCAGGCTACTTGAAGAACTCAAAGTTCTTAGTAAAAAGATTTAAAGAAACCATATTGAGTAGTATATTAAACAAAAGGGCACTGAGATAGCTGTACCACACAATTTTTATTTTTTTCAATGCGATGCCCTATGACATCACATAAGCCATAACAAGCTTATGTCATCATATTGTAATAAAAACAGGCTGAAGTCAGCATGTTATAATAAAAACATCACGAAACATCAGTTTTACTATAGTCCTTGCCTTCTGGAGAGTTGCGCTCTTTAAATGTTCTTTTCCATCAGTTTTGGCATGAAGCTGAAATGCAGCCCCAAACTGTGACAGAGCATCCACCGTCTTTAATAAGATGGCCGCAGACACTCACTGTCATCCCTCTTTACTGAACTCCTCTGCACATACAGAGTGATAAACCCAAATTTGAAATTTTGGGTTCAAATCATCACTCCATAACTACCATCGCTGCTTATTTTCAGTCCAGCTCTTGTGTAATGTACCACATTTCAGTCCTTTCTCCCTGCTTCTGTTTCTAAAGAGTGGCTTCTTGACAACCATATTTTCACAGAGACCATTTAATGAGCCTTTAGAAAACAGTAGCTGAACCAGCTTTGGCATTATATTTGTATATTCAACTAAAGAGGTGGAAACAAATGATGTGCTTTTATGACAGGATCCTAGTAACAAAGTGTCTGACGATACAATTAAATGTCGATTCTCTGGCAAGTTTTCTTGTTATGGGTAAACACATCACTGCTTCGACCCTTGAGTTAGGCGTCTTTTTTGAGTGATTCATTGTTTTAAATGGCTAAACAAACTGAAAGAACATTGCTCTGAAAAATGAGTGAAAACACAGACAATGTCCAA